AGAGCTCTATCCCCATTGATTAATAACTCCTCGTTTCCAAACCCCCTAGGCCCCTGGCAACTGTCCTTTCACTCTTTAATTCTATGAAATTGACTATTTTAGATACCTGATATAAGTGGAATCATACAGTATTTTTTTTTTTTTCTGTGCTTGGCTTATTTCACTTAGCATAATATCCTCAAGGTTCATTCATGTTGTAACATTATTACCTCTATTTTGCTAATGAGAAAATTTAGGGAGGTTATACTATATGTCACCCTTGACCTGTGAGGATGTTTCAGGATTCAAGGGTTTCTGTAGACTCCGTCATACTCTTGAGAACTCTGCAAAATAATGTGTGTTTGGTTTATGACACTCAAAAGATTAACTTCACGCCAGAGGACTTCAAAGATCTGGTCTAGCGTTGACATACAACATCTGGTGACTTCTTTATTTTTTTTCCTATTGCATGATTTCAGAGTACGAAATATTCTAGATCACACTTTTAATAAAACTGCTCAGATATAAGTACAAAATGAAAGCATGGGGTCTCAGTGTTTGTCACACTTTCATGCCTTTATCTAGAGATAACGGAACTATGACTCATCATTAATTGATGTCCCATATTCTATGGTGGTGGCCAAATTGGAAAGATCTAGGTGTTTCTCATGTTTTGACACCCAGGTGATGAATGTTAGGATACCTCTTGTGTAGTTAGGACATGAATCTTTTAGGAACGTCAGCTCGTGTTTTGGCAAGGCCCACAGCTGTCTGCCTCCTCACCCTTATCCTTTTTCCTTTTCTGTCTTTCTCTCCCTGTCTTTTTTTCTCCTTCTCCTCCTCCTCTCCCTTTCTCTCCTTCCTTCCTTCCTTCCTTCCTTCCTTCCTTCCTTCCTTCCTTCCTTCTTCTTTCTTCTTCCTTCTTTTTTTTTTTCTTTGGAACAGCAGAGACCTCAAGTTGCTCTAGTTATAAGCTGCCTGAAATTGATAGAGACATCTAAACAATAGCAAGGTCTGCAAAGAATTTGCCTCTTGACACTGCATGTCAGCTGAATAGGGCTTAGCAGGTAACCATGTAAAACACTGTCTATCTGTAGAAGAGGGTAGGGGAGGGTCATTATCTCACTCTTTAAGGTTTTGCCATATCAACTTCAATTAAGTTGAAGCTGGACAAGTTTATTTCATTTGTATGTGTAACTTTTGCCAGTACAGGGAAGATTAGAGACAGGAGGAAGGATCCGGTCACAGAGTTCAGACCTCTGTGAAGGGCCGGCTTCACAGAGCCTGGTGTTAACTAGGGCCCTGTGCTTGGTTTAACACTCTGCTTTGATATCTTGTGATTCTTCATGACATTTAAACAAAGGGCTTCATATTGTCAGTTTGTATTATGTCCTGAAAATTATGTAGCTTGTCCTGTTTCAGCGACTCTGAATCATTCATTCACTTTGGATTTAGAGCTTTTTGCATGTACTTTCAAATCCTAGGGATATCACTCTCTCCTCGAAGAAAAAATATAATGTTATTTTTTCTTCCAGCTTTATTGAGATATAACTGACATACAACATTGTGTAAGTTTAAGGTGTACGATGTGATGATTTGATACATGTATATATATTTGAAATGTTTACAACAATAAGATTAATTAACACATTCCTCACCTAATTACCATTTTTTTTGTTTTTATGGTGAGAACATTTAAGATGTACTCTCATAGCAACTTTCAAGTCTATAATGCATTGTTGTTAACTATAGTCACCATGCCATACATTAGAACTGATTGACTTCTCTTATAAGGAATCAGCCCCAGAACTGATTCACTGCTCTTGTAACTAAAAGTTTCTACCCTCTGACCGACATCACCTCATTTTCTCTACTTCTCTACTCTGTTTCACTGAGTTCAACTTTTTTAGATTTCACATATAGCAGAGATCATATAGATTTATCTTTCTCTGTTTGAACTATTTCACTTAGCATAATGCCCTCACGATCTATCCACGTTATCACAAATGACAGGATTTCCTTCTTTTTCCTAATTTTCCATTATAAATTTACGACATTTTCTTTATCCATTCATCCTTCGATGGACACATAGGTTGTTTCCATGTCTTGGCTATTATAAATAATGCTGCAATGGACATGGGAGTGCAAATATTTCATTGAGATAGTGACTTCATTTCCTTTTGAAATATGCCCAGGAGTAGGATTGCTGGATCATGTGGTAGTTCTATTTTTAATGTTTTGAGGAACCTCCATCCTGTTTTCCATAGTGGTTCTGCAAATTTACAGTCTCATCAACAATTTAGAAGAGTTTTCTGTTCTCCACATCCTTGCCAACACCTGTTATTTTTTGTCTTTTTTAAAAATTTAATTTTATTATCAGTTTCAAGTATACAGCACATTGGTTAGACATTTATATAATTTTTAAAACGATCCCCCTAGTTGTTCTTTCTCTCCTCTGGCTCTCCACCTAGCCACTACATTAATGCTGACTGCATTCCCTATGCTGTGCTCCCCAGTCCCTGTGACCATCTATCAACTACTAATTTGTACTTCTTTAACCCTTCACCTCATGATGCCTTCAGCTTTGTTCTTTTTAAAGACTGCTTAGGGAAAATCCCACTTGATCGAAGATTTTTGTATCTGTATTCATCAGAGATATTGACCTGTGGTTTTCATGTTTTAGTACTATCCTTATCTGGCTTTGGTATCAGGATAATTCTAGCCTCATAAGTAGTTTGGGAGTGTTCCCTCCTCCTTTTTAATGTTTTGGAAGAGCTTGAGAAGGATTGGCAATAATTCTTTAAACTGATAAGTACAAGTACTATACTTGATCTTAGCCAAAAGGCAGAGAATTGATCAATAATTCTTTAAATGTTTGGTAGAATTCACCAGTGAAGCATATGGCCTTGAGCTTTTTGTTGTTGTTGTTGGGTGGTTTTTAATTACCAATTCAATCTTTTTACTTGTTATTGGTCTCATTGGAGATTCTATGTCTTCATGATTCAGTCTTGATCGATTTTATGTTTCTAGGAATTTACCCATCCGTACCTTTTAGGTTGTCAATTTTGTTGGTGTATAATTGTTCATAGCTGTCTCTTATGAACCTTTGCATATCTCTGCTATCAGTTATGTCTCCTCTTTTATTTCTTATTTTATTCTAGTCTTCTCTCTTTTTTTCTCGGTAAGTTATTAGGAGCTTGGATTCCCCCCACTGTGCGGCTGATACAGGCTGGCCTGCCTTTCTTCCTTGTTCCTAGCCATTTTCCTACATCTCAGTTTTGCCAGTCTCTGAGCAAGGTGAAACCAAAGTGGGTCCTTTCTGCTGTCCTCAGAAGGCTGGGGAACTTACCCTTCCCTCTCTTTCCTGGTGAGGGGAACTCCTTGTAGCTGGGAAGCTCCCTCCTGGCACTGAGCAATGCCAGCCTGAGGGATGCTGATAAAATGAAGCCGTTTTTCCTTCCCTTACTGTACAGTTATTCTCAGGGTTATTATTATTATTATTGTTCCATTGTGTTGTTGTGACTTCTTGAATGGACTCCTGAGCTCTCTTAAAGCTGGTTTTGTTCATGCATAGCTGTCAAATGGTAATCTTTGTGGAGGGATGGAAGCTGGGTTTCTTAGTTTCCCATCTTGGTGATGTCACTCCTGAAAATAGGCTATTGATTTCCAATTGCTCTATGGGAGATGGCAAGGAAAAAGATAATTAGATGTGACCAGATTATAAATGACAAAACTTTCAATTACCAATGTGTAAAAAATTGTGGGTAAAGGTAAGAGACCCTAATATGTGTTGAGCCTCTACTATGTACCTGACATTTTATAACTATTATGTCATTTAATCATTTCTATAATTTTCCATGTCAAGTATTTTAGAGATGGGGGTTAGTAAGGCAAAGTAACTTACTTAAGATTATGCAAACAATAATTGACAGCCTGGAATTGATCTTATGTAACTTGGGCACTAAATGTGAGCAAATTCATTATCTTCTGAACATATCCAACTATTTAGTCAGTAATTTAGGACTGCGCTTAAGAGAGCTGAAATGATTGGATGGAAAGTCTTATAGAGAACTGGGGAAAGGGCATGATTTCGAATCTCAGTTTTGAGAGAGAGCTGCAGAGATGAGACCTAAAAACTGAATGTGACAATATGTCAAAATGAAGTGCAAGATGCAGATGTGCTGTTTAAAGATTTAGCCAAAAAGCTGATTATGAAGCTCTCGGACCCCTTACCCACATTAGAGTTTATAAAACAAGTCAGAAAAAGTGAAAATGAAGAGAAGCTTTGTAAAGAGAAATTTGGAGAAAGCTCTTGGTGTGCTGCGAATCCTGTTACTTACCGGAAACGAAATGGGGAAAGTCTCTGCTTTACAAATCAAACTTAATGACTGGCTTCCATGGTCAGGTCTTAACAGGCATCCTCTTTGGTTTGGAGGACACAACAGTCTGTTTCTAAAAACTGCTTGTGAAATCTAAAGGGCAAGACTTGATTAGCCAGCTGCTTTGGGGTGGGGCAAAGGACTGTTACTATAGCATCAGGAACATCCTACATTCCCAGGGTTCAAGAGAAAGAACGAGTGAATATTTCCCATGGGGCAGATGCAGGACAGAGAGCTGGAATTCGATTCATGTGAGGCGTCCACAGAGAGCTGAACATTCTTCATCCAACAGAAACTGACGTTACTACTAGGCCCTGACGAAGGAATGAGTGACCACCTGAAATGAATTTGTTTGTCAAGATCAAGAAAATTGCAGAAAAGAAAATTTCAGTGGTGAACAGCATATTTTTAAAAACTCTTGAAAGTGCTCCCAGCAAGTATCAGTTCTTATATATACTTAGTCCAGAGAATACAACAAAACCCACAAGGTTTTCAGCTGCGTAAGAACGTTGCTGCCTTATTTTCTTACCTCTCCTCCCTCCTCAGCACCAACCCAGGAAGAGAAACCAACTATACTTCCATTTCCCCAAATCTAGAGAGCAAAACTGAGGAAGGGGAGAGTCTTGAACTTTACCAAAAGTTTGTAATTTTGACTGTTGCATTGGATATTTTAATTTCTAGTCTGCCTAAGAAGGGTAAGAAAAGTCCTAGGATATACCTGAATTTATGCTTAGAAGCAGTTGGAAAGATCACCCCACTGAACACATTTAAAAGGGAGAGGGCAATAAAATAAAATTGCTTTGTGATTACCTCCCATGACTCATACTTGTGCACCATGCTGGATGAAGAGACGTGTTCTCTGATTGTGGTAGGTGCTAAATGTTTGATACCAGGCTGTACCCAAGAACACATTCAATGAGTGTTATTTGGGAAGTGTGGTGAAGGTGACATGTGTCAGTTTAAGACAGGCGGCCAGCAGGTTAGTTGATTACTTGACTTGTGAGTATAGCACAGTGATGGGTGATTAGAAAATCATCATTTCTACAGCAGACTCTTTTGCTGGCCCATTGAGACATCCTATGCCAGGCTGGTGCCCCGTCTTCCAGTTGCTGAAAATGTTGGCTGCGATAGGCTCACACTTACATCCATTTCCTAAGAATTCTCCTTAGTTGACATGAGCCTCGTTATATAGAAATGTCTGGAAGATTATGCCCACCCTCCTTGTGTGGTCCACAGCCAATGTCTGACAAATATAGGGGTTCAAAAATCTGACTACTTTTCCTCAAAATGGGACAACTTTGTAGGTCTATATATGTTCTAGAGCTCTCCAGGAGATCAATTTAATGCTAGATTTCAGTAAAATTACATCTTTGCTTAGCTTATTTCCCTGCTCTATCCTGATTTCCTGTCTTTCTAACAGGTTTCTTTTGAGAACATTCTTTTAATAAATCACTTGTATAAAAACCCCATCTCAGACTCTGCTGCTAGGGAATCTGATGTAAGATTAGGAATCATTCTAGAAAGTTTACTTTAAAGAGTGGGATTCTGGAGTTAAATCACTGGCCAAATGACAATGAGGACACCATCACTGAATTTAGGGGAAGTGTCAGTGATTCCTGGCATGATGCTGCAGCAGAGAACTTGCCTGTGAAGAACTGGGATGGAATATAAGTGGAAGGGGAGACATTGGCTTATGCAATCTAACTGGAATTTTACTGAAATAATAATTAGAGGGCTTGTGGAATTGGGTGGTGGTGCAAAGCACCACCGATGATGGGCTGAAGAGAGAAACTACAGCTTTGTGTCTGTTAATCATCAATTTGTAGCAAAGTGTGAAATTTAGAGGCCCTCCTTGGCATCTTTTAAAGAGATATAATTTCCTGAATCTGGAGGACCATCCGAGCTGATAACCAGGATTCTTTGGGTTTTAGAAGTAGCATGTTCTGCAACTGTAAAAACTGCTTTCATCCATTTACTGAGTGATGCTGAAGGCTACTTACATTGCGTGGGGCTCAGAGCAAGAACATCCTCTGCAGCAAGTTCAGGCTGTTGCTTCGTCACTGGAGCCATATGGCTCAGCTGATCCCATGTTATTAGAGATATTTGTACTGAGCAAAGTTGCCATGTGGTGTCTCTGGCAAGCCCCAATAGGAGATACCGTATACACACCCCTTAGGTTCTGGAGCAAGGCCATGCCATCTGCAAAAAATAACTATACACTATTCAAGAAGTAGCTGCTAGAATGATACTGGATCCTGGTACAAACCAGTTATATGATCACAGGGTATCAAGTGAGTGTGCTGACAGCAGTGTTCATGAACTACATGCTGTCAGACCCACCAACTCTAAGATTTAGTGGACCCAGGAGCAATTCATTGCAAGAATTTATAGAACTTCTGGAATTAGGTTCAGAGGTCACAATGCAGCTGCATGAACAGGTGGCCCTGTCACTCACTGTTGTAGCGCTGATGACCATCTCTTAGTTCACACTTGCAGTCCCATGGAGAGTTCCTTATGATCATTTGATAGAAAAGGAGACAAATAAACAAATAAACTGTATTTGACTTATAAAGAAGTCACTCTGATATATTGGTGCAAGCCAAAAAATAGAGTGTGGTTGCAGGACAGCCCTTCTCATGAATAGCCCTCTAAAACAGTGGTAAGTGGAAGTCCTCCCAATGGGAAGTGTGGAAGAGCTTTAGCTGGTTTGCTAGGTCATCTACTTTGTATGGACAAAGAAGTAGCCTGGGTTACAGACTCATGTGCAGTGATGAATTGCTTTACTGGTCTGTTAGGAGCTTGAAGAGAGCAAGATTGGAAGGCAACAAGGAGGTCTAGGGGGGCATCGTGTGTTTGGACCTTTGGGAGCAAAATATGGGGATCTTTGTGCCAAATGTTAATGCTCACCATAGAGTATCTATTGCAGAAGATTAAAAAAAACACCCTAGTGTAGAGGATGACTTGGTTAGTAGATGGTAGCCAGTCTCTATCCTCAGTCACTCCTTAATTACACGATGGACTAATGAAGGAAAAAAACACAGTGATAGGAATGGAGGCTATATCTGGGTTCCCAGGCATTTCGTTTCCAGAAATGAAAGTTGACAGACTAGGTTTCCTCTTACTAAGGCTGATCTTGTTACTGCTATTGCTAAATGTCAACTTTCCCATGATAGTAACGGGGACCAACACTGAGCCTTCAGTATGACTGTACCTTCCCTGGAGAAGATCAGCCATTCATTTGGTATAAAGCTGATTACATGAGATCCTTTACCATTTTGAAAAAGGTAGCAATTCACCCAGATCTGCATTGACACAGCCTAGGGATGCTTTGCCTTTTCTGGCTCCAACGCTCAGTCAACACCAGTGTCTGAGAGCACTTCCCACATGGAATGCTGTATAACTTCTCCTTGTCACTAAACTTAAATTTATAGCTGTTGTCTGGTCACTTTGAGCTTCTCATGCCAGTAGATGATCAAGT